ATAGCATATCCTTATGTCATTATCACTTTAATATGTGCTTTCAATTAAATTTTTAAGTAATAACTAATGTGATATAACTAATGTGATCAAACTGACTTTAAGACAAAAACTACCATACAAGACAAGGAAGGACATTATAGAATAATTAAAGGATCAATTGAACATGAAGATATAACCATAATAAATATCTATGGACCCAATGAAAGAGTCCAAAAATACCTAAATCAGACTTTAAAAGAGTTGAAAAGTCAAATAGATGACTCCACAGTCATCTATATATATATTTATATTATATATAAATAATACAACTAATGTGATATTATTTAAAAATTTAATGGAAAACACATATTAAAGCACAGAAGAATACACTATTAACTTTACATATTATAATGGGTTGATTTGTATCCTCCCAAGAGATATGTTCAAATTTTAACTCCTAGTTCCTGTGACTGTGACCTTATTTGCAAATACAAAATTATACATTTGTTGATGTAATTAGTTAACATGTGGTCATACCGGAGAAAGGTGGGTCTAAATCTAATAAAACTGGCATCCTTATAAGAAGAGAAGAGACACAGAGATGGACACAGAGGGAAGACAGTCATGTGAAGACACCAGCAGAGTTGGAGTTTTCTGTTACAAGCTAAGGAACACATGGGACCACCAGAAGCTAGAAAAAGCAAGACAAGATTCCTCCCCTAGAGACTTTCCAGAGAGAGCCTGGCCTTGCCAACACCTAGATTTCAGACTACTAGTCTCCAGAACAAAGACCTTTGGTAGTGCAGTGGTTAAAGCATTGGGCTGCTAATCAAAAGGTCAGAAATTTAAAGCCACTCTATGGAAGAAAGTTGAGGCAGTCTGCTTTCATAAAGATTTATAGGCTTGGAAACCTTATAAGACAGTTCTACCCTGTTCTATAGGACTCAATGCCATTGAGTGGGTGGCTAGTCTCTAGAACTATAAAAGAATAAATTTCTCTTGGTAAACCAGCCAGTTTGTGGTATTTCTTACTGCACTCCACGGAAACTAATACATATGTATTTAAAATTAAATTTTATCCAGCATAAACATAAATTATCTTACTAAATTAAGCACAGGAGCTCTGGTAGCATAGTGCCTAAGGCACTTGACTGCTAACCAGAAGGCTGGCGGTTCAAACGCACCAGCCACTCCTCAGAAGAAAAGTTGGGCAATTTACAACTTCCATAGTGATACTGCCTCGGAAACCCAAGGAGGGGTCACTATGAGTCGAGTCTGACTTGACGGCAATAACAACAACAAATTAAGCAATGGGCCCTTCTTTAAGGAAATGCTCATGTAAGTTTAGGAAAAGAAGTCCACAAAGAAGATATACAGATGGCAAATAAGTGCATGAAAAGATGTTCAACATCACATTTATTAAGGATTTGAAAATTGAAACAACAAAAAAATACCGCTACACACCTATTAGAATAACTAAAAGTCTGAAACATTTACAACATGAAATTCTGGGAGGATGTGGAGCAACAGAAACTCTCATTGCTTGGGGGAATGCAAAACGGTACAGTCACTTAGGATAATAGTGTGGCTGTTTCTTACAAAGCTAAACATAGGCCTACAATATGATTCAGTAATCACTTTCCTAGGTATTTACCTGTGGTAGTTAATGTTATGTGTCAATTTGGCTGGGCCTGGTTTTGAGTGCCTGGGCAGCTGGATGTAGCCATGTCCCGTGATGAAATTGGTAATTAACTCCATGGTGGAATCTATTGGACCAGCTGAGCAGCTGCCTTAGGGATGTGGTCTGCTTTCAATAGATAAGGAGAAGTTTTGAGAAGGGTCAGCAGCTTTTGGCACACTTGAATCCTGCATGTAGCCGAGTCATCATTCAGCAGGCTGCCATGTTGTCTGCTGATCTTGGGACTATTAGTGGACATGAATTAGTGGCCTGCCATGTGGCCAGATAATTTTGGGACTGTGTCATTTTATTTGCTGACCTTGGGTTTGCAGGTCTTAGCAGTTAGCGGCTGCCTGAGTGAAGAGACGCCTCTAGCTCCAGTGGGCCGGGAGCAAGAGGCAAAGCTGAAGCCCAAGGTCCAAGAGCTTTCACCCAACCCCTAGAGCTTGGCACTTTGAACTTGGACACCAAGCCTCCAAAATTGTAGGAGAATAAATTCCTATTTGTTAAGACCATCCATTTATGGTATTTTCTGTTAGAGCAGCACTAGGAAAACAAAATGCTACCCAAATAAGTTGAAAATTTATTGCCACCCAAAAACCTGCATATAAATATTTGTAGCAGTTTTATAAATAATTGCTCCAAATTCAAAGAGTCAAAGATGACCCTCAATAGGTGAATGGATACACAAAATGTGATGCATTCATAGAGTGGAATATTATTCAGTAATAAAAATAAGCCCTCAAATTATAAAAAGACATGAAAGAACCTGAAATGCATATTACTCAGTGATGAAAGCCAGTCTGAAAATGACACTCCAAGGAAGGCAAAACGATAGAGAAAATGAAAAGATCAGTGGTTGCGTAGTACCTAAGGTAATTGATTACTAATCAGAAGGCTGGCAGTTCAAATCCACCAGCCACTCCTCAGAAGGAAGGTTGGGCAATCTACTTCCACAGTGATATCACCTAGGAAACCCAAGGAGGTGTCTCTATGAGTCTGATCCCTCTCCATGGCAGTGAGGGGTGGGGATAATAGTGAACACATTACATCATGTATAGCACAGTACAACACATAGAGTGAAACCTAATGCAGATTATGGACTTTAGTTAACGATAACAGCAATATTAATTCACCAATTGTAACAGACTTACCACAGGAATACAAGATATTAATAAAAGGGGAAAACAAGATGGGGTGGGAGGAGCCTATGGCTACTTTCTGTACCATAGTGTAATTTCACTATAAACCTGAAAATAAAGTCTTATAATTAAGAAGTCCATATAGCAGAGATTAAAAAACAAAGAAAGGAGCAGAGAAGGTATAATTCAGTAGTCTATAAAAATATAAACTTTTGAGACCAGGAGCATCTAGAATATATGTGAGTTTGTATTATGAATTGCCACTTCTGGCGGAAACATAACCATCATTTAAGGATGGAGAATTGCTAAACACCAAGCTCAGAATAAAAAGGAAAAATGAATTCCAGAACACAGGAATTATGGCTCTAAGAATAATTGGAAGTTTCAGGAAATTTTACAACCTCCTCATTAATGAATTATAATAACAAAACCTAGCTTTTATAGGTTGACTGATGTTACTTTACCTGGCAGCCTCACAACTTCACAGAATCTTTAATTTTTAAACTGAATTTCATGATGATTAAATGAAATAAGATTACAAAGAAGGGGCACCGAAGAAATGTTAGCTATTGTTGTTATATTGATCCTCTTTTTATTTCTTTGTGAGAACTTTATACTCACTACCTCAGGAAAGAAGGAAGGGGGAAAGCATTTCCCACCAAGCAGCCAGGCTTGAGAAGAAGTGCTCCCAAAGTAAGGAGTGGTTAGAAAGCAACTTTAAATTACCAAAGAAATTAGTGACGTGTATTTAAAACAACACATTTTGTAAGGTCTGGGAAGGTGGCCAGGCAATAGAAGAAAACATAATTAATGCCTTGGTAGTGCAAGTGGTTTGTGATGCCAACCCAAAGGCTGGCTGCTCAAACTCAACCAGCTGCTCTGTGGAAGAACATACCCAGTCACTGCTGTCTAGTTGACTGTGACTCATAGTGACGCTATAGAACAGACAAGAACCTCTCCATAGGGTTTCCAAGGCTGTAAATTGTTACAGAAGTGGATTGCCTCATCTTTCTCCTGGGGAGAGGCTGGTAGGTTCAAACCACCATCCTTTGGGTTAGCAGCTGAATGCCTTAACCACTGCACCACCAGAAGCCTAGCGACTTGCTTCTGTAAAGATTGCAACCAAGAAAGCTCCATGAATTAGTTCTACATGTAACACAAGAGGTTGCTGTGAGTCAGGGGTCAACACAAAGATAGCTAACAACAAAAAAGAATACATGTTGAAATTATGAAATGAAATATTGATATAAAATGATAACCTATGATCCTGAAGATATTAATGTATATGTCTGTACTTTAACAGCAGGTAGCTTCTATTGGTGAATAGAACTTGTACTCTTCTATATTTTGAAGTTGACACTGTATATATGGCACTTTTACTGAAAAGGTATATTTTAAAGTATTTGATACTTCATTTCTTAAATATGAAGCAAGTTGGTAATCAGTACAGAGAGAGATTTGTCTCTCCTTATAAAGATATTTCAGCTTTGATGTTTAAAAGTCTACTACTACTTATTTATTTAATACATTCATTCAAACAGAATGTACAATGAATAGATTAATCATACCCTGTTCTCTTTAAATAGGAAAGAGAACTTTTCCTCCAACTATTATGCTAATATCAAGAATAACTATGAAATTCTAGAAAACAAAAATTTATTGTTTTGGAATCATAATCTTTTGAATGACAGCACCATAAAACCAGATTTTATTCAATTAAAATATTTAAGATACTTAAATATTTAAGTATCTTAAATATTTAACTAATTGTTAGAAAATCAGAAGAAAAAGGATCAAGATAATCATAATGGTATTTTGAAAGATGTTTCCAAAGAGAAAGTTGGAGAAGTAGAAAATGCTGTAGAAAGGGAGAATTTACTTCATCAAAAAAAAAATCATCATGCCTTTCAGGGTATAAATGAGTTACACTTTTGTTGTATTGAGTTTATAACTTTTAGAAAAATAAGTTTTACATTACTGTCTTTATTATTATTTTGCTGATGAATAATAGTCACTGAGGTGATTTTATTTAAAAATATCCTCAAGAGAATGATTGATGTCATATATAGTTATATAGAAATGAAAGCTGTTTTCCTCTCTTATCTATCTGGAAATTTTATATGGGTATGCCACAGAACCTGGATTCATTTGAGATGTGTCTAATCAAACCAATGACAGCTTCAAAGAAAATGGGAACTTACACATCAACCCCAGGGTTCCCAGGCCAGCCAGCACTATCAGGTGCAGTATTAGTGAAACATAAGCAACTTTGCACCACATGGGTGATGACGTTTTCTGTCCTATAAGAAAGCACAAATTAAGTGAAATGACATGAAGGAACATCTTTATTCTGATCTCTTCACCCCAACCACCTAAACCTCAAAAAAACAAAACAAAACAAAACAGTGCCATCAAGTCATTTCTGACTCATAGTGACCCCCATTAGGTTTCCAAGGTGGTAAATCTTTATAGAAGTGGATTTCCCCATCTTCCTTACACAGAACAGTTGGTGGGTTTGAACCTCCAACCTTCTGGTTAGCAGTCAAATGCCTTAGGCATTACGCCACAGAGCTCCTTACCTAATCCTCCAATGCATATTGGAAATCTTTATTATTTTTTTTTTAATGAATAAAGAAAAATGCTTAACAAGTCAGTCTTGACTGTTCAGCAAATTTGAAGACATTTCTATAATCTCATCTTAAAGTACTAAACACAAGCAATCTATGCAAACATGCTCATACTACATATTGTGGATATTGTAATGGATACTTTATTTATTTTTGTATTTTACCAGTATTTTTTCCCCCTCCTAATTTTGCTATAATTTGTCCACTGTTCTATCACTCTTCCCATCTCGGGGTATCAGTGTTGACTATTTGCTGGAAGTCCTTCCTTAATTTTCTTCGTGTTTGTATTATAATATGTTAGCTTGTTAATTATTATTATAAGTTTTTTTATTAATTTTCTGGTGATTGGTATCTTCAAATTCTCTATGTGTGGTGAAATGCTTTTCTTTATGTGGACTTCTGTCTTGGTTCTTTGGAAAAATCTTTCACAGATTTCCCCCCTAAATTCTGGGAAGTTACCTTTGCCCTAGTTTATACCTCAAAGGGTTTGTACTTTTGTCCAGGATGATTGACATTTTCTGGTCAAGCCGTAAGCAGCTTGACTTTTTGTCTGGCCTTGGGCTGCAATTGGTCCTGTGATTGGTATGCATCTTGCAGGGATTGGTCAATGTTGTTTTTAGGTGCCTTTGAGTTGATTCCAACTCCTAGTGGCCCTATGTACAACAACAGAATGAAACACTGCCCTGTCCTGTGCCATCCTCACAACACTTGCTATGCTTGAGACCTTGTTGCAGTTACTGTGTCAGTCCATCTTGTTGAAGGTCTTCCCCTTTTTCTCTGACTCTTCATTTTATCAAGCATAATATCCTTTTCCAGGGAATAGTCCTTCTGACAACATGACCAAAGTAGGTGAGATAAAGTCTGGCCATTCTGACATATGAGGGGCATTCTGGCTGCACTTCTACCAGGGCAAATTTGTTAGTTCTTCAGGCAGTCCATGGTATTTCCAGTATTCTTCACCAACACCACTATTCAAAGGCATCATTTCTTCTTTGGTGTTTCTTATTCATTGTCCAGCTTTCACATGCACTTAAGGATATTGAAAATACCGTGGTTTGGGTCAGGTTCACCCTAGTCTTCAAAGTGACATTGCAGTGTAGTAAATTACTTAGTATGGCTTCTCTACCCATAAGTCATTGTAAACTCAGTGGTGGAATGAGCAAGTGAGGAGCTCCTGATTGTAAATGTTATCCATCTGGGTTATTTCTGTTGAGCATGACACAACGCAGTGTTATGGGGGCTCACTCTCAGGTGCTTAGAATTCTGTTGTTATGATTGGTTGGTTTGGTCACTCTTCCAAGCTCAAAAGGAGGCCTCCTGGAGGCAGAACTCTCTCTCTGACTGCTGGTTGAGGAAGATGTGCTGCTGAAAGAGACACATGCTCCTGAAAGAGACACGTGCTGTTGGGAAAGAGACTGAAGGGACACGCATTGCTGAGTAAGACACCGAGGGACATGCACTATTGGGGGAGAGACTGTGAGAGACTTGGCTGAGAGACGGTGGGCAGAGAGAGAGAGACTGAGCATTTTTTCCTGAACTTTAATTGTAGCCTGTGGTGCTTCCCTAATATACCCCATAATCTGTGAGCTCTGTGTGGCCACTGCAGCGAATTATCGAACCCAGGAGAGAGGTGGCGGGTGCTTTGGGAGGAACGGTTGGAGAAAGGGCTGGAGGGAGGCAGCATGTCTGGCCTGGCAGGAAAAGACCTTGGGCTAGTGATGGTGATTCTGTCTTCCTCTTTTGGGATTAGAGGAAGTCATAACATGTGGCCTCCTTCCCCTTTTTGCAGACATCTTTGCCCTTGAACACTTCAAAGAGGTCATTTGCAGCAGATTTGCCCAGTGCAATATGATGTCTGATTTCTTGACTGCTGCTTCCATGAGTGTTGATTACGGATCCAAGCAAAATGAAATCTTAGACAACTTCAGTCTTTTCTTCATTTATTATCATGTTGCTTATTGGTCCAGTTGTGAGGATTTTTGTTTGTAAGTTTGTCATACTGTTGTGGCTTGTGTGTTGCTGTGAGGCTGGGGGCTATCCCATCGGTACTTGGAATAGCAGCTGGGTCACCCATGTTGGACAGATTTTTTAGCAGAACTTCCAGACAAAGATGGACTGGGAATAAGGATGGGGCCATCCACTTCTGAAAGAAGTGGCCACTGAAAACATTATGATTAGCAATGAAGCACTGGTTGATATATTGCTGGACTGGTCAATACACCCGTACAAATGAAATGACTTTGGACCATGCAAATATGATGACTATAGCAATATAACTCACTGTCATCAAATTGGTTCCAACTCATAGCAACCCCTCCTTGGGTTTCAAAGGTGGTATCTCTATGGAAGTAGATTTCCCCAGTCTTGCTTCCAAGGAGTGGCTGGTGGGTTTGAACCACTAGCCTCCTGGTTAGCAGTCAAATGCCTTACGCACTATGCAGATTTAGTATCTGTGGCCTACTGAGAGGAGGTTGGTCACTTTGTGTTCCTACCAGGCTATACCTTGAAATTGACAAGGAGATATCTATGTATCAGACCCACAGAAGTTTTTGGAAGAGAATGAAGCAAGGAAGAGAACCAGCAGGAAGAAGCACAAAAAATAATCAGAGAGAGGAGAGAGGAGAGAGGAGGCAAGTAACCTCCCCAAAAAGCTGTAACTCAGCTCAAAAACTGTAATATTGAATACAGTGAGAGGCCCGGGAGGGGCCCAACAGCAGGGGCCAAGGGAAGCATCTCCTTATGGAGCACAGAAGAGGTCTGTCCTGAGAAAGCTGAGAGATGGCCTGCACAGACAAGAGGAGCCAAGAGAGCTGTCCTGCACTGAAGGGAGACTTTGCCTGCGTGCTTCCTAATCCTGGGTGGAGCATGCTGATCCTGATTTCAGAGTTGTACCCTGTTCCTTAATGAACCGCTAAATGGCAATTATGGTCTGTGAGTTTCATGTGGCCATTGTAAGAGATTATCAAACGAGAAGAGAAGTAGAGAGTGCTATGGGAAGGATTACTGATGTCAGAATTGGTAAAGAGTTTGGAGCGTGGAGGTATATCTGACCTCTACTTCATGGGAATCAGCTTTGTGTTGCTGCTAATTCTCCCTGAGGTCAAAAGGTTCTGACAGTACTATTACTAACACCACTGTACAATATTTTACTAGAAATCATCTTTCCTTTCAGATTTTCACATTTATTCACAAAAAATTGCATATACCCTTCTCTTATACATATTTAACAACAACAACAACTATTTGTGGCTGCATATTTTTTTAACTTTTTATTATGATTTGGGTGAAATTTTACAAAGCAGATTCGTTTTACATTCTACAGTTCATATGCCTGTTATTTTCTTATTTGATTACATTCCTCAGAGTGTAACAGCTCTCCTCTCACTTCCTCTCTGTGGTTACCCTTTTCTGTGTCCCTCTTGCTCGTGCATTCTTGCCTTCCTATCTTTCTCTTTGGGCAAAGTCTGCCCTTCTGATCTCCCACGGTTGATTGTTCTATGGAGTGAATCTCTCTGATGTAGTTGTTTGGCTCAGAATCCTGTTTATTGTCTGGCTGAGAGTTAAGCCAAGAGAGTGAGTTCAATCCCAGACCCAGTGGGTGACTTGGCCATAGTCTTGGGGATGCATTTTTAAATCTTCTTACTAGTATTTGATATGTTTCTTTTTTCTATGTTTTACTAAATTTGGCTTTTGAGATCTTTTAAAAAAAACAGTTTTCAGTTTTTCTTTTAAATTTTTTTTCTATTCATTGATTTATTTATATTTTTTCTATATTGATTTTTTCCATTCTTTCTTCTTTAACAATGAAAGATTTGGGGTAATAAATCTTTCTCTATAATAGTTCTAGATTTTCCAAAAGGAATTGTTTTCCTTCACATTACATTTTAAAACTCAGCAATTTAATTAGTTTTGTTCATTTTGATCAAAAGATTATTTAGGATTGTATCTTTTTCCCAAGTAGTTGATATTCTTTGGGTTATCTTGATATTACCATTATTTTAAATTTAATTTTATTATCTTCGTTGATTAAAAAAACAAAAAGATCACTGCCATTGAGTCGTTTCTGACTCATAGCAACTCGCAATGGGTTTCTGAGGCTGTAAATCTTTATGGAAGTAGATCACCCAGTCTTCCTATTATATAATTATATTATATATATATATAATATTTATATATTTAAGGAGCTCTGGTGGCACAGTGCCTAAGGCAATTTACTGCTACCAGAGGGTTGGCAGTTCAAACTCTGTGGAAGGAAGCCAAGGCAATCTACTTCTGTAAAGATTTACTACCTCAGAAACCCAATAAAGGTTGCTATGAATTAAAATTGACTTGATGGCAGTGGGTTTGTATATGATACTTTAGGTATATGATATACATAGCATATATACAAAGGCTGCTGATATAATAGCTATAAATTTATAATAAAAGTGTTAAAATATTATTGTAAGGAAAGAGGCATATTGCAAAGAGATGTCTAACAATACTGTGGTGCAGTGAATTACTTGGTATGGCTCTTCTAGCCATGGTCTCTGTGACTCCCACTGAGTAGAATTAATGCAAACGTGAGATGCTTGTGGCCCACCAAGGGAATTGGATAGCTTGCTAATGATGTAAATAAGGTACATAGCACCTTTGTCGTGTGTGGTCATGCAAGTAAAGTGCATAGAACCCAAAGGTAGGGATTGGTCAGTCTTGTCATCTTGCTAAGCTTAAAAGGTGCCCTCCTAGAGGCAGAATAGGAAATCTCATTGCCATCAAAAGAGAAGAGTTGGAGGTGGAGTGGACCTTGGACCCAAGATCCCTGTGCTGGACCTCCTTGGAAAAGAAGACCAGCAGAGGAACCAAGAGGCATGAGACAGTGTCAGGCTTCCCAGCCCACAGAGTGAGAATGCTGAGTGCCTTTGGAAAGAGGCTTGCTGGCAGAGTGGGATGCACATACATGTACCTATAGACAGTTAAAAGAGCTTTGTAACACTTGCTTGAGCAGGGCAGAGGCTAGGCCCAGAGGCCATGATCCAGAAAGGTGTGTCTGGGGGCATAGCAAAGGAGAGACAGTCCTGATTGAAGAATTGTATCTTGAGAGCCTTCCTGAACTTGAATTGTAGCTGTTACTTCTCTAATAAACCTCATCATTGTGAGTATTGTCTGTGAATGCTGTGTGGCTGTTGCCACGAATTATCAGACCCAGCAGAGAAGTAGTGAGTGCAGTGGGAAGGATGGTTGGTGTCAGAGTTGGTAAAAAGGTTGGAGAGTGGCAGCATGTCTGGCATCATAGGAATAAGCTTTGGGTTTGATGGTGATTCTCTCTCATGAGGTTGGAGGAGGGCAGAGAAATACGTAGCCCCCATGTCCTTTTTGCAAATACTCTGGAACAAAATATCATTAAACTCTCAGAGTAAAACCTAGTAACTCAGAGGCAGCAAATAATTAATTTATTAAGGGGATAGGATTAATGTCTTATTTCATAACCAAGATAAGAATTTTGTGTCTAAGGGATAGTAACTAGTATTAGAAAGAATATATACCCGTAGGAATTTAAATCACTAAGTGTAAAATCACATAAATATTAACTAGATCAAACTAGGTAAAAATAATCGGAAAGAGATAATTTTTCATAACTAAATGATGAGTTGATCATCTTTTGTTTATTTTTCTCACTCCTTAAATTTTTGTACCTCTTTATCTTTAAAAGTAATCTCTGATATGTCTGTCTCATGATCTCCCACAATGTCTTTCTAATTTTCTCCACAACCCGGAAGCTCAATTTATTCAAATAGGTCTTACCTCTCACAGCTCTGCTCTCTGATACCTCAACTATGTTCTTCATTTCAGTTCTCTCCGTTTCAGTTTCAGCTCCAGTATTCAGCTCTAACTCTTGTACTTGTTGATTATCTTTTCAGGGATTAAAAACAAAGTGAAAACAAAACAAAACAAAAAAAATAACTCTTTTCTCTAGCCCTTTTTTTCCCCCCAAACATTCTAACTATCCAGATATCCATACTGTTTCTTAACTTGGTCTTAATTATGATGATTTTCTTTTCAGCCAGACTACCTGCCCAGATGTATATAAAGGGATACAATTTTTTAATAAAGAAAATATATATTGGGAGACAGAGCAGAAATTGCATATCCAATTTTATAAACAATTTACATCAGTTTTCTTTGATATTAATGGGCTGGCTAAGATGTACCTTTCTCTGAAAATATTCAAAGCCTTCATTAAAAATATGACTCACTTGGGCAATCAAGTTCCTAAAACAGTGTCCATTAAATTTATGCCTGAAATGATAGAATTAGTGATTCATTCATATAGATTGTTTTCTCTTTACCAGAAATTAAAAATTCTACATGTACATTAAACAAAACAAAACAAAATAAAACAAAAAACACCTCACTGCCATTGAGTCAGATCTGACTCACAGCCACCCCACCTTGGGGTTTCCAAGGCAGTATCACTATGGAAGTTGATTGCCCAACCTTCCTTCTGAGGAGTGGCTGGTGGATTTGAACCACTAACCTTCTGGTTAGCAGTCAAATGCCTTAGGCGCTAGGCTACCAGAGAATATATGATTTTGTATTATGATGAAAGTGACTTAATAAGAAATTTAAAAACAAATATTAAAATAATGTAAATAAATTATAAATAACAATAAAACAAATCTCAGAGAATGTTCAAAGAAGCATGCATTCCATAGTAGTAAATATGTTTCAGTAAATGTGATCTTGATTTTTCAAAATAATCTTCCTATTAATGCATAGTTGTCTCTAAAATTCTAGGGCTTCAATTTGACAAAACAGACTGAAACTATACCATGTATAGACAAGGAACCTTCAATCTTATTCTATCTCAGGAAGAAAAATTTCTATTTCATCCTCAATGGCTAGAGTCCCATAAACCAAAAACAAAAACCAAACTCACTGCCACTGAGTTGATTCCAACTCATAGTGACCCCTCTTAGGTTTCTGAGATGGTAAATCTTTACAGAGGTAGATTGTGCAGTCTTGTTTCCATGGAGCGGCTGGTGGCTTTGAACTGCCAATCTTCTGGTTAGCAGTTAAAAGCCTTAGACACCACAAAAATCATGAAATGTCTATTTTCTAATTTTTTACAGTTAGATAAAAATTCTAATAGCTATGTTCATGCTTTTACTATTATTCCTTCCCCTCATAACCCATATCTGAGATCATCCTAAAATTTCCCAAAAATATGAGAAACAGTATGTTGAGACACCAAAAATCTGGATTTCTAGAGAACAAGATCATAATCTTATTTCACACACTTTGATTATCTTGCAAAAACCAAGTAAGACAGACATCACAAACACAGAGAAGACAGAGAGTAAGTGAAATTTCTGTAAAGGTTAGTAGTGGCACAGCTCCCTCATACACTGCTAGTCCACAGATCCTGGAACTGGTAGTGTAAACACATACCAACAGTACTGGGTAACTCCAAGGAGTCCAACACCCACCAATAGAGTTCTTTCCTCTAGAATAAATAGACCGATCTTGCACAGAGCATCTTACCTGTTCTCTTTAAACTGTAGCTCTCCTGGAGTGTCTTCGTCTTAGAAGAGTCTGGAAATTTGAGAGTAGCGTAAGTCACTTCTTCAGACATTACTGAACAAATAAAGCACAATCAATTATTTTGTTGCTGTGTGTATCACGCTGAACTTGATAGAAGCTATTGTGGAGGTGATACAGGCACACCGGGACTAAGTTGTGTGACCTAACTTTGTAAAAATCAAGCAACAAAAGTAATGTTAAAAAAGAGAACTGTCCTACTGAGAATTTCAGAACTACATTATTCTCAACTTTTCACACCTCTCTTATCACTAACTTCCTTCAGTAAAGCACCTCAAATTGAAGTAACTGTACAAAGGAGAGAATATATTTTTTACTTATAAATATTTATTTTTTTAATTTCTGGGAAAGCTATACATCCTCAGACTTGAGACTCCCTTGGGTAACTCTGAATACATATGTAGATATATTTATTTTGCTGATAAAAAGTTAATCAGCATGTGCCTATAAGAGTAGTGTTAAAATCATTTGTAGTGTTTAGCCCACTCTTCACTCCCAGAAAACCACAGGTTAGTTCATTCTCACATAATATTTGTTTCTTCCTCTTTCTATTCCTTCCCATTGTTGTGAAATAAAAATAACACAGAGAAGTGAATAGGGGACATCTCTTGGTGAAATATTAATGGGGCGATAAAAAATTTAAGAAAAAATGGTACTAAGAGAAAAAGAGGGAGGCTGCTGAGTTACGCTAGTCGGAGATCGCCCACAAAATAAAATGCCAGCCAATAAGAAGAAGCAAGACGTATTTTTAAAAGATTTTACTCTTCAGAAAACAATTTTTTCTTTTGAGTTTATACATCAGGTTAATATCTCTTAACTTACTGAATTATAATACCGTGATTTCTGGGAGTGTATTAACCTATTTTAAGGATTTGAGAGTTCAGAGTCATGGAGGCCAAGTGCCTTGCTCACAGGCACACAGTCAGTGAGAGCAGACACACTGAAATGGGCAATCTACTTCCATAGTGATGATGTTGTTGTTGTTCTGTGCCGTCGATTCGGACATGACTCATAGAGACCCCTCCTTGGGTTTCCAAGGCAGTATCACTGCGGAAGTAGATTGCTCCATCTTCCTTCTGAGGAGTGGCTGGTGGATTTGAACCTCCAGCCTTCTGGTTAGCAGTCAAGTGCCTCAGGCACTATGCTACTACAGCTGTCTCCATAGTGATACTGCCTTGGAAACACAAGGAGGGGTTGGTATGAGTCGGATCAGACCCTACGACAGTGAATTGGTTTTTTTTTTTTTTTGGTAGCATGATACAATCAGATAGTAGATGTTCAATGACCATTGTTAAATGGGTAGATCAATGTTTTTTTTCAAAATAACCACAGTATTTCTCAGTGAAAAGCAACTGATAAAATATTGCTATTATTAGGCACACTTTTACTGATTTCCAAGAAATATTGGGTCATTGTAGACTGGGCTGAGAGAATCATCTCAAACAGAATTGAAAAATGAACATTTCCTAAAAATGAAAAATCTAGGAAAGATGGTGTTGTAAGCATTGATGTCAGGAAAAAGATACTGCCTTATACCATTAAGTTTGGAACATATTTTAAAAGCAGACTGTATAACTCAGTAAGCAATATTCATAATTCGCTGCAATGAGGCACAAACACTAACAGAGGGAAGAGACTCTGTTCTGCTTGTGGGTGAGGAGGTTATGAGTGCACAGGTAGGGCAGGAAACATGTGGGTCAGATGTGTTTTAGTCCTCTAATATTCAATAAATGTGTGAGCTTGAGGAAATCTCTAGCCTCACTTCACTCATTTATTAACACCTGAATGGATTTAACTAAAGCTTTTAAATGATAAATGTCTAAAATTTCTTACACCACTTGTCTGTCAGTTTGCCATGCTATGGTGGTTTGTGTGTTGCAGTGTGTTGCAGTGATGCTGGAAGTTAGGCCATCGGTATTTCAAATACCAGCAGGATCACCCTGGTGCACAGGTTTCCGTTGAGTTTCCAGACTAAGACAGATTAGGAAAAACGTCATGGCAGTCTACTTCTGATAAAAATTGGCCACTGAAAACCTTAAGAATAGCAGTGAAATGTGTCTGATATAGTGCAAGAAGATGAGCCTCTCAGGTTGGAAAATTCTTCTGGGGAAGAGCTGCCACTTCAAAGTAAAGTTGACATTAATGGTGTGGATGGAGTATTACCGGTCTGTACAGAGTAAAGCTTTTGGAACCTTCATTTGCCTATGTGGAACAACTCAAAAGGAGAAGAAACAGCTACAAAAATCCATTAATAAGTGGAATGTGAAATGTACAAAGTGTGAATCTAGGACAATTGGCAGTTACCAAAAATGAAATGGAATGCATAAAGATCAATATCTTAGGCATTAGTAAGCTGAAATGGAGTGGTATTGGCTACTTTATTCTGGACAATCATATTGTCTACTATTCCGGGAATGTCAAATTGGAGAGGAATGACATCTCATTTATCATCAAAAAGCATATTCCAGTGGTGGAATATTTTGGAAAAGGATAGCAATAATGGTGGCACAACACAAAAAAAATGTCATCAATGTCCCTGAGCTGTAAATGGAGGAGTTGTGATATTGGCAAATGTCCTGTTGTATATGTTTTCACTACAATAAAAGTAAAAAAGAAAAGAAAAAGAAAAAGAACACAAATATTGTATTTATGACCTGTATATTGAGTATAGAGACAGAGCAGTAGAAGGCAGGAAGTGAGGTAGAAGGAAGGATGTTAACTCATGTCCATGTCCTACAAAGTGGAGGATTTAGAGATATACCCTGTGCTTGTTCAACAAGAAATAGAGGTTTCTATGAGGAGGTAAGGGGAGGGAAGTGAGATAGAGCGGTTTTACTCATCTACCAAATCCAGGGGTGAACAGATATTTCTAAGGTTGAAAGTTCTATATAGGCTATAAACATACTTTTCTGTTGTTATTGTTAGGTGCCATTGAGTCATTCCTGACTAACAGTGACCTTGTATACAACAGAAGGAAACAATGCCACATCCAGTACCATCCTCACTTAAAGAGATATGTAGTTACCATAAGAAATGAAAACACAAATAATTAAAAACAATTGCCTCTAGAGAGCAAGACAATTTTTTTAGGAGAAGAGGTTTTCTAGCTGAATAATAAGATTTTCTGTGTTATTTTGTTTTAAACATGTACATGTATTATTTAAAAAAAATAAAATAAAAATAATAAAACAATGCATCCATAAAGGAGCCCTGTTTGGGCATGGTTAAACAGCCCCCCTGCTAATCAAAAGGTCAACAGTTGAAATCTATCAGCTGCCCTGTAGGAGAAAGATGTGGCAGTCTGCTTCCATAAAGATTACAGCTTTGGAAACTCAATGGGGCTAGTTCTACTCTGTTACATAGGGTCACTGTGTAATGGAATTGATTCAGTGCAAGGGGTTTCAACAGGCATGTATTCCTAGATATTAATCAAGGCTCTCCAATTTTGTCATTTGTCTTCTTTCTGACATTGTCTCTAATTGGATTCTTTACTGTTGAGTCTGTCCTCAATTTAAAATTTCGCTGATTACTATATTATAATGTAGAAAAACACGTATGTCTAAATTTTGAATTTAATGTTTGTTTTCCTCTCTATACATACAAAGTTCTAGGCATTGAAATTTACCATTATAATAATTAGTATGCAATTGATAAAAACAATATAAATTTACTACCCATTTGAATATGATTTTGGCATAAATATAATATTTTATTAGAGATTTTAATGGCATCCCTGTTTTTTAAATTACTCAGGTATGTTCATATAATTATACTTCAGACCATTTTATTATGTAATATGCTGATCCTCCTATTTCAAGGATAGCAAAGTATTGGAAAACACCTAAATAAAAGAAATTATTTACTTCCTCAATTGTGAGAATATCTGTATCTAAACTTAATCAAGAAGTGAATCGACAATTATAACTGGTCCCCCCTGCTCCCTGCCCCAGAGGTTACTTGTTTAATCCAATGTACTCAGAAGGTGTTGAGATATAAAAATCTTACTGATTTCATTGCAGCTTATTCATGCATTTTAAAAAATCAACTGTTTTTTATATTATTGTTTTAGCATAAAATCAAAACCAAACCAGATCCATTGCCATCAAGTTGATTCCTACTCATGGTGACCCTTTTTAGGATTAAATAGAACTGCCCCATAAAGAGCTCTAGTGGCCTAGTGGATAAGGTACTTGTCTGCTAACTAGAAGGTCAGTGGTTCAAACCCACCAGCTACTCTGTAAAGATTTACAGCCTGGGAGATTTACTGCCTAGGAAACCCAGTGGGGGTTGACAGGAGTCAAAATTGACTCAAAGACAGTGAGTTTGGAGTTTGCAAGAGAATTGCCCCATATGATTTCCAAGACTGTAAATCTTTACAGAAGCAAACTGCCCCATCTTTTTTCCATTGACTGGCTGGTTGAACCATTGACAGTTTGGTTACAGATGAATGCATTAACCATTACACTACCAGAACTCACCTATTTTTAGTATATTTATTTAAAAGTATAGCTACGAGTTAAGCTTTGTGAATTTATAGAAAGTATTTCCTTATAACTTAATTGGCAGTGTCAGTGATTATTACCAAATCAGCCAATTTGACTTATTTCCTGTCCAAAAAAATGAAAACACCACCTCATTTTTAATACACATTATACACTGAAAATAAGTCTTATTTCTAAGAAAAAACACCAGAACAGTCAAGTTATATTAAAATGATGCAGATCTAATAAAATTAATTTATACATGTATATAAATTATAAAGGTTAATTAATATAGTCTTTCACTGCTTAACTTGTAGTCATGCAAGGGATTGTGTAGCTAAAATTTTAAGACATTTATGAAGTGAGGTATATAATAAAAGTCGTGATATGAGAAAAGAGATTGATTAATTATTTCAGAACCCAAAAAGTATGTTAAGAATTTCATTAATTTGGGGAACTAGAAATTTTGTGTGTGTTTTAGATGATTATGAAGATAACTGTATAGCTCTAAGTGCTCTGTACAAAACTTTCACTTCTGATATCAGCAGAAGTCAT